CATGAGCCCATGGGTTCGAGACACCCCCCCCAGGGGCAACTTGGCGAGGCCTCGTCTCTACAATAAATCAAAAACTAGCCGGGTGTGGTAGCGTGCGCCTGTAGTTCCGGCTACTTGGAAGGTTACTTGGAAGGTTGAAGCGGAAGGATAATGTTGGAGCCCAGCAGGGCAAGGCTGCGGTGGCTGGGAGTGTGCCACTGCACTCCAGTCTGGACAACAGAGTGAGACTCCAACTCAAAAAAATAAAGCAAGCATTGAGAACAGCTCTGTTCAATAGAACTTTCTGCGATGATGAAAATGTTCTGTATCTGCACTGTCCAAGATGGTAGTCACTAACTACAAGTTGCTACTGAGTACTTCAACTGTGGTTAGTGAGACTGAATTTTAAATTTTATTTAGGTTTAACTAGTTAAAATTAAAATTTAAATAGCCTCACGGGATTAATGGCTACCTAACACAGAGGGCAGTGCAGACTTGGAGGCACCGTGAGAGGACCATGACACAGAAAGGGGAAAGAGGCAGAAGGCATGCCAGCAGGTGGCTGTGAGCAGCTGGAGAGTTTCGAGGAGAAGTCAAAGGACAGTTCTGCCCAGGGGGCTTCCCAGCAGTGCTTTTCCTTGTCCTTCTGAGATAGGGATCTGGCAGGACTAGTTTCCCAAAGGTCACAAGACCCAGACCTCACTGACAAGAGGGGATGTGGTAGAAAGACCAGCCAAAGCCAGCTGAGATCAACTAAGACCAAGAGGTGTTGAAAGTGACCTCTGCTTGTCCTTCTTGCTCATTGTATGCTGATCATAATACTTTGGCATGCTAAGACACTCTCACCAGTGCCATGACAGTTTACACTTACCATGGCAACTCCGGGAAATTACTCTATATGTTTTTTTGTTTTGTTTTTTTGAATTGGAGTCTCACTCAGTCACCCAGATTGGAGTGCAGTGGCCGCTCCCGGCCACCGCAGCCTCAACCTGCTGGGCTCTGGTGATCCTTCCGCCTCAGCCTTCCAAGTAGCTGGAACTACAGGCACGTGCTACCATACCCGGCTGATTTTTTTTTTTAATTTATTGTAGAGATGAGATCTTGCCTGCCCAGGGGGGTCACGAACCCGTGGGCTCAGGCAGTCCACTCACCTCAGCCTCCCAAGGCGTGGGATTTCAGGCTGAGCCACCAAGCCCAGCTCTCTATATGGTTTTAAAAGGGGAGGCGACCACAGAGTCTGTAATCCCAGTCTTTGGGAGACCAAGGAAGGAGGAAGATCACATGAGCCCAAGAGTTTTGAGAACAGCCTAGGTAACATGGAGAGATCACGTTACTACCAAAAATTAGTCAGGTGTGGTGGCATGCTACTGTAATCTTAGCTACTCGGCAGGTTTAGGTGAGAGGATCGCCTGAGCCCAGGAGGCCAAGGTTGCAGGGAGCTGTAATCCTTAGGTGAGAGGATCACCTGAGCCCAGGAGGTCAAGGCTGCAGTGAGCCGTAATCCTGCCACTGCACTCCAGCCTGGATGACAGAGTGACTCAAAAGAGGGGGTTACCTTCCATTCTGGGAACTCCCCACCCTCTTCTTGGAAAACCAAGAATAACTCACTCCTTGCCTAGCACATAATCAAGAGATAGCTATAAAGATAAAAGTCAAGCCATGTGTGGCTGTTCTTCCTATAGACCAGCATAGGCTGCTCTACCTAATGGAGTAGGCTGCCCTCTGTCATTTCAATACATTTGTTTTCATTGTCCTACTGAATCCCAGCGATGTGCGTGGACCGCCCTGCCTATGGACTAGCCATCTTTGTTTCTCTGTTTCTCTAATAAACTTACTTTTCTTCTTTTGCTTACAGCTTGTGCTGGAATTCCTTCCTGAACAAAGCCAATAACCCACTTGGTCTCGAGCTGAACTACAATTCTGGGTTTCATCTTCATTATCTTCCTTCAAAACTCTGGCGGAACTCCAACCTTGGAGTCCTCTGGCCTGCATCACTTCTGTCTCAGACATGTACTGAGCAGCAGTCAGGTAGGCCAGACAGGAGCTGGGGCTGACTAATGCATTAGATACAATGCCTAGTACCCAAAATAGGGTTTTTGTTTATTTGAGTCAGAGTCTCACTTTGTCACCCAGGCTGGAATACAGGGGCGTAATCACGGCTCACCGCTGCTACAATCTCCTAGGCTCAAGTGATCTTTTTGCCTCAGCCTCCCTCCCCCAGTAGCTAGGATTACAGGCGCACACCACCACACCCAGGTAGTTTTAAAATTTTTTGTAGAGAGTCTTACTATGTTTCCCAGGCTCGTCTCGAACTCCTGGGCTCAGGTGATCCAGCCACTTCGGCCTCCCAAAATGCTGGAATTACAGGCGGGAACCACCCTGTCTAGCCCCTTAATACTTTTAAGGCTTATGAAAATGTTTTAATATTTTAAAAATCAGAATTAAAAAAATTTTAGTCTGAATAAAATGTTTTAATATAATAATGAATTAGCATATTCACCTTTACATTAACCTGGTGGCAAAACATAATCCCCCCCAATTTTTTTAATAGAGGAAAGGACCCTTGAAAACAAAAGCGGCTAGGACCCAAAAAAAGTCCTAATGTGTGTTGGGGGGTGGGGGATGCTTGCTTCTCCCAACATTGATGCTCATCATGGACTCCCAGGCATCCGTCTGGCCACTTCACCTTTGAATGCTCCCACAGAGGGTACACCTGGCCTCCCTGAATGGGCCCACCTGCCCCAGGGCCTGGCACATCGAAGCCAAACAAGAGAACCAAGACAACCCAACAATTCTGCCGTCAGAGGAGAATCCTGCACCCAGCCTTGGGAAAACGCGCCAGCAGACTGGGCAAAGAGGATTGAGGGGACCAGGGAGGACCCGCGCCGGGAGAGGAAGGGCAACGCTATGTTCCAACCTGAAACCGAGAGAATTTTACAGAGGAAGAAGCACGGGCACGAGGTCGAGGAACTTGCCCAAACTCACCCAAATGCGATTCGAACTTCCGTTTGTCACTGATCTGACACCCCATGACTGAGGGAGGAGTCCCAGATCTCCCGCATCCCATCCTCCTCCCCCTCGCTGCGCACGGCCTGGCGAGCAGGAATGGGGCTCGGCCTCGTTAAGTCCCGCCCGGGCACGCCCTGGGCCGGGCGCGCCATTCCCGGATCTGCCGGCTGGGAAGTGCCGGCCTGCGGGCGTCCTCCGGGCG